GGTTGGGGAAGACTACTTCCAATATCAAGTTCTACCCTTTGGACTCTCTTCAGCACCTAGAGTCTTCTCCAAAACGCTCATGGTGGTAGCTGCGCATCTCCGCTGACAAGGCATAGTAATTTTTCCTTATCTCAACAACTGCCTTTTGAAGGGTCAAACCAAAGCTGAAGCCTCTCACATGATGGTGACGGTTCAACAACTGCCTTTTGAAGGGTCCAACCAAAGCTGAAGCCTCCCACATGATGGTGACGGCGAGAGAGCTGTTTGAGTCTCCAGGTTTGTTCATAAATGACCAGAAATCAACACTAGAGCCAATTCAAAACATAGAATGTATAGGAGCACGTTTGGACTCCACGATGGCGAGAGCCTACTTACCTATACAGAGGTACCAGGCCATACAAGATCTGATTGCAATACTTACCTTAAGCCCTACAGTCTCTGTCCTCATGTGCCTACAGCTCATGGGCCATATGGCAGTCACAACATCTGTGGTCCATCATGCAAGGCTGCATTTTCGGTGCCTGCAACAATGGCTAGCGTCGGTGTGTGTTCCCACAAGGCACCACGTTGGCAAATGAGTCACTCCACCTTCTGCTGTGATATCTTCCCTAGAGTGGTGGACCAGTTCACACAACCTCCTCGCAGGAGTCCCATTTCACCAACCTCAGCTGTCTGTTCAGATCACCACAGATGCCTCTCTGGTGGGCTGGGACACGCATATCAACAATCTGTCCATTCAAGGATGATGGCCACCATGGGAGGCAGCCTTTCATATCAACATCCTGGAACTCAGGGCTGTCCTCAGTGCCTGCAAACATTTCAGAACACATATCTCTGGTACCACAACCGGAATCCTCACCGACAATATCGCCACAATGTACTACATTAACTGCCGGGATCGGGGGGGGGCGGGGGGAGAGGGAAAGGGGAAGAAGAAGGAGGCTGATCCCATTTCCTTTACGCAGAGACTCTTTTCCTCTGGAACTGGTGTATCTGCAACAATGTTACACTCATAGCTTCATACTTACTGGGAACCCGCAATACCATAGCAGATGCATTAAGCAGACCGTTTTCCCTGGATCATGAATGGGAGCTCCAGGAAGATGTTCTCCAGCACATCTTCAGTCTCTGGGATTCCCACAAATAGATCTATTTGTGTCCCAGAAAAACTCAAAATGTTGACAGTCCCAACGAGAGCTGGGATTGGCAGAAATTCTCTGGGCGATGCCTTTCTTCTCAGTTGGACAGGTCCACTTCTCTGTGCCTTTCTGCCTACCATGCTGGTTCCCAGAGTCCTACAGAAAATCAAGAGAGACAGAGCCAAAGTAATCCTTTTAGCACAATCATGGGCTTGCAAACCATGGTTTCCTTTTCTTTATCAAATGTCTCTTCTGCCACCTTATCCCCTCCCCAACCTACTGACCCAGAACCATGGGACTCTTCTCCACCCACAGCCTCACATTCTCTGCTTGACAGCATGGCTCCTTGTTAGTTCTCCAATAGGGAGAACCTCTGCTTCTCTCCGGTCAAACAAATCCCAATACAAAGCAGGAGGGACACGACTAGAACAATCTACATGCATAAATGGCGTAGATTCGTTGCCTGGTGCACTAACAAACGGGTAGATCCATATACGGTACTTCTCCATGAAATCCTTGAATACATCCTATCCTTACACCACGCTGGGTTGACCATAGCATCCCTAAAAGTGCACCGGGCGGCTGTTACTGCCTTCTGCCAGTCTGTGGATGGCATGTCTATATTCTCGCACCCTACCGCCAAGTGGTTCCTCAAAGGATTATCTAACCTCAACCCTCCCCACAGGCCTCTGCCACCTCTATGGGACTTGGACCTAGCTCTAGATACCCTCACTAAACCGCCTTTTGAGCCACTGGTGACAGGACCTCTGCCTATTATTACAATGAAGGTTATTTTTCTATTGGCAATTGCTTCGGCCTATATTATTACAATGAAGGTTATTTTTCTACTGGCAATTGCTTCGGCCTGCAGGGTCAGTGAACTGGTGGCCCTGATGGCAGTACCACTGTACGCTGTTTTTAACAAGCATAGTGTAGTAATATGGCCATACTCAGCCTTCATTCCTAAGTTCTGTTCTCAGTTTCATATTAACAAACCCATTGTTCTTCCGGTATTTTTCCCTAAGCCTCATCCCTCCATTCAAGAGACATTACTGCATACCCTCAACGTGCACAGAGCACTAGCCTTTTACATTCAGAGGACTCAGGACTTTAGGAAGTCCCAGCGCCTTCTGTTATCTCTCGCAGATTGCTCTAAAGGACATTCACTATCCTCTCAACACATCTTGAACCTCATAGTGGCCTGCATTGAGAGATGTTACACTATCCACAACAAACCACTTCCGACAACACTGAGGGCTTATTCCACCGGAGCCATATCCAAAGCATTCCTCAAGGGAATTCCTCTTTCGGACATCTGCCGCTCGGCCACGTGGTCTTCTAATGCCACCTTTATGAAGCATTATGCTATACTACATCATTGGGCCACAGATTCAGTAGTGACCTAGGCGGTGCTTTTCACAGCCATTAGACCATGACCCTGAGACCCACTGTCCAAGGGTTCTTAATCACTGCTACAAAGTCACCTACAGTGGTGCACCAATGGGGACATCGCTCGAAGAAGAAGTTAATCACCTTGTGCAGTAATGATAGTTCTTCGAGATGTGTGTGTCTGCGGGTGCTCCACTACCCGCTCTCCTCTCCGCTTCGGAGTCTCTGTTGGTAATTGTCTCTTTCAGATACTTGGGTGGGCAAGAGGACCTGGCGGAAGCCGGACCACTCGCACAATAGAAGGGGCGTGAATGCCACGAGATGCTAACTGCGCATGTGCGGTCTGGCTGACTACTGCTATTGAAGACTCCGAACTGCAGCACTGGGATGAGCCCAACACCTACAGTGGAGCACCCACAGGTCTCAAAGAACCATGGCCCTTTCCCATGATGGGCCAGTGCCCCACTTGGATCCCTCCTCATCAGTCATTTCTGGTTACAATCAATAACAGCAGTTTCTATCTACCAATATGAGGACTCCCAGTGTTGCTCACATTGATGGCCATGAACTAATTATAGCTGCATTGGGTAATTAAAAAAACTTGTTTGATTATATTCATAAATTTATATTGTGGTGATCTCCAAATACATATGAATAACATTTCATCAAGTTATTTTTGAAAACATCTCCTGCAATGAGGAGTAACGGTAGTTCGAATTAGGAGCTTTAATTCGGACTACCTAGTCTGTGCCGCGTGTAGTCGCGGGCAGGTAGTTGGAACTACAGGGCATTTAAAAATGGCGGTGCCCGGGAATGTGCAAATGAAGGCTGGGATATTTAAATCCCGGGCTTCATTTGCAAGTTTGAATGCCTTCATTAGCCACCCTAGTTCGAACCAGGGTGGCAATGTAGACATACCCTTACTGACAGTGTAATATAATACTTATTTTATTTTGTACCATAAATATGAAGAATAAGCTATTACAAAGTAACTGTCTAGTTACACTGCTACTGTAATGTTTTATTTGCCGCAAAATACAATAGGACGTCATTACTATTCTCTAGCTATCTGTTCTATAGCTCTAAACGTTCAGCTTTATCTGTGAGAATATGCCATTTTCTCAGCAGAAAGAAAGAAAGACAGGTATTCAGCATCTAGAAGACAAAGAGAGAGAGAGAGATTCTGCCAATTACAGTTGCTTGGTTCTGCCAAGTTTAAAAGATCAGGAGGAGAAAAGACACTGGAAAAAGTTCCTATAAAAGAATAACCCCATTCTGTGGAGAGTTAGGGACCAACTAGCTGCCAAAGAAGGTGCTTCTGGGGAAAATGGTTGCTTTGGTGTTGTGCTTACCCCTTTCTTTGAATTTCTCAAATCATTGCTGTGAAAAATAATTGTGATAGTAAAAAATAATTTTAACAAATGCCAGATTGTGCCTTAGCTGTTCTCTGATTTAATATAGCCGAGACGTAGCAGTATCTTCAGAATGTTCAGAGAGACTTGTATGCTTCTTGTCTTTTCTTAGTTTAAACTTCAGACTTCCTGAGATTTAGAACCAAGACTCATTGGAGAATGATGATGATAAACCTAGAATACATCTTGATTTTTCTAGGAAGCCTCTTTTGAGGATTTGATTCCTCTTCAAAACAAATGTTGACCTAAATAGAGGATAGTTTTCTTCTGGACCTAAACCATGTGTGGATATGCAGCACACCATCTTGTCATGTACATTTGAGCCCCCCATTTTATTTCTTGCAGTAATATTGTACCAGCAATATATATGGGAGACTGAAAGTAAACAGTCTAATTGACATTTGCCTTTGCTCCGTCTTCTGTACTGTAATAGGTTTTACATGCTGCATTGTGTCATCCAGGGCTGCCAAAAGAAATTCTGGGGCTTTGGGCAAGGCGGTGGGGGGGTGGCTCCGGGCTCTCACAAGGAGCAGGACTTCAGGTGCAAGGGATAGGGATGAGGGGCTAGCCTCCCACAGCCAGCCCTTCAGTGCTGCCCAGGGTTGTGGTGGTGTTTTAAAGGGCCCAGGGCAGCTGCCACTTTTGCCCCATGCTGCTGCTGGCCAGGAATAGCCCATGAGTGCTGGACTATGGGCAACAGCTCGATGGTGCATGCACGCACACAGCAGACACAAGACACTGCCACTATTGTGATTTAAAGGTGACAGGGAGCCCCAGATAGCTCAGAGCTCCCTTGCCAAGCCCCTACTGCAATTTAATTACTGCAATTTAAAAGCAGCAGGGAGCTCCCAGCTTCTGATGTTGCTACCATGGCAGCAATAGTGGCCAGAAGTCCAAGCTCTTTGAAGTCATGGGGGGCAGAAAGGGGGACCTGGACAATTGCCTCTCCTTCTGTTCTCTCCCCCCCCCCAGTCTCCATTGGCATCCTGGTGTGATAAGATGGCTTACCTTCTACAATACTGAAAAATATTTGATTCTTATGTCTGTGTTTCTTTGATAGCCTCGAGCTGTTGCGGGTTTTCGAGGAACAGTACGATATGCATCAGTCAATGCTCACAGAAACAGGGTGAGTATCTGTACTTATATCAAACAAGTCTGAGTTTCTAGCAATTAAAAACACCATCAATTGAGTTTATAGTATAAATATTGCTTCATTTTCTGTATCCCTCTGTAAAAATTATTATATAGAAAGACTGTGGCAAATATTTAGGAAAGAATAGGTCACGTTTGTTGTCCTGTAGATAGCTGAATGTCTTAACTTCATAATTGTGTTCTGATTGCAGAAATCATTATAGTAGTTTTAATAATTGCCATCACTGTTTTAATCATACCACAGGATAGTAGAACAGGACAGATGAAATCATCAGGTGATAACTTGTTATATTTATAGTATATTCTACTTATCATCATGATCTCAGTATATTAGAGAACTTTGGACAAACTGCTATTGCCAGTGTGATGACATTTCACTTCAATAAAATGATGTACATCACTAATCATATTTTAACATATTTCTTCTAATTTTTTCTGTGCTTCTTGTTCTTCCATCTGAAGTTATGAGAAAAGGGAAGAGTGTTTTCCTACTTGCAGTATTATAGGGATCTATTTTGCTATTTTTATTCTATTCAGTTTTACTGGGAATATACAATAGTTAAAAGAATCTAGAGCCATACAGGATCAAGCAAAGCCCATTAGTTCTGATTGCTTAGTAGTAAGGTAACTTACAGCACTTATGAGAGGTAACAAAATTTCACCTCTTTTTTTTTCCACAGGAAATGGGAAGGCATGATGACCTCTGGTCCCTATTTTATATGTTGGTAGAGTTTGTGGTTGGACAGCTACCTTGGAGAAAAATAAAAGACAAGGTAAAATCTAGAAATAAGACCTTAGATGTACATTGGACATAAACACCTTTATAAAAAACTACTCAAGAATCATTGGTTCATAAAATTCCAATATTACATTTTATAGCCATTTCTACTGATTCCTCCTCCCCCTTGCTTCACAGTACTGATGTCATGGCATAAAGTGCGGTGGAGTGTTACAAATGGTCTTAGTTTGAAAGAGAATTTAGACAGAGCTTACAGTTTTTACAGATATATTATAGAGTGCTTTTTTTCCTTCTCAAACCTTCACAAATCCCTTCATTTCTAATTTGACATTTCATCTTGGAAATAAACATTCAGTATTTGCTATTAGACAAAGATAGCCTAGTAGATCTGTGGTCATGTTGTTGGGCAGATGTCTTATAGGAAGTATGCAAAGAAAAAACCGTTTCTGATGGCCTTTGTCCACTACTTCTTTCAACATATTTTGAGTGTATAGCATAAGCAGAAGCACTTAATGATGAACTTGGCTATATAGGTAGATGAAGATGGGCCGTACAAATGACTGCTCCTGTTCATCTGACTTTAAAAATCACAAACTAATTGAAAGGGAACTGAATAAAAATACTGAAAAAAAGACTGCTTTGAAGACTAATTATGTATCAAAAGTGAACTGAAGTTGATGACATAATAATACTTTTTAATCTCTATGTTTCTAGTAGAGTTGTGAAGTCCAATTATAATCAGTGGTGTCAAACAGCATCAAAACACACACACAGAGAAAATTAATTAGCATTTAAATATTCAGTTGGAGGTTTAAAAATACATTGTATGTTGGTGCTGAGGGCAGTGGCAGGATTTCTGATCTTGCTGTAACCTGAAGGATTAGTCATTTATTTGTATACCCTTCAACTCTGGCCAGAAATATTGCACTTACTGACTGTGATATATAGTGTAAATACTCTGCAGTTGGGAATGGAGATGTACTAATGTTTTTTGTACTAACTGTTCTTAGGAGCAAGTGGGCTCCATAAAAGAGAGGTATGACCACAGGCTTATGCTGAAACATCTCCCCCAAGAATTCAACATTTTTCTAGATCATATCTCCAACTTAGATTATTTTACAAAACCTGATTACCAGGTAAGCCTTTTTACTTTTTTATATTTCTAATTTTTTAAATAATTTTGTTTCACTTCATTTTATCATAATTTGTCTTCCTTTGATTGGAGCCTGCATCCATAATGATAAAGATTATAGACTGTCCCATTATAGAGCTATTGTAATAGCCCATCAGGTTCTTTGATGAAGTTTGGCAGTTTGATTCCATGAAAGTTTGAAGGTTACATCATTGATTTGCTTAATGTCCTGAAATGGGCCACAGTATTAGTGATTTAATTTTTGTGATGGTTGGATAAAACCAGGGAGTTTTGTAAAGAGCCATATTTTATCTACAGCTGAGATATGAAGGGTAATTCCATTTGTAATTCCTTCTGGACAATTCTGTGTGCCCTTTGAACTCCTCCTGGTTGTAGTGCAAGTGTTCACAGGGTTGCCAGCTGTCCAGTTTTGAACCGGACAGTCCAGTATTTGAGCTTTCTGTTCAGGAAACAAATTGAGAAAACATAAATGAGAAAATATAAATGTCTGGTATTTTCTAAATAAGATGTAATGTAGATTGTGATGTAATGTCAGGTTTGTCCAATATTTTTGTTGAAACCATCTGGCAACCCTAAGTGTTCAGCTAGGTTGGATTCTGCAAATATGTGGGAGACGTGGCATGGAGAGATGGAAGAAACTGTAGTTGCTGTGTAAAAGAATCTGGTGAGTTGATCTGTGGTTGGAGTTATTGTACATGAATTGGCAAAAGGGAGGAGAGAAACTCAGTCATTTTGGTGGTAACTGATAAAGAAACAGAGGTATTGCTCAAGATTTCGGTTCTCTCATTCCATCTATCCATCAGTCTTGGAACAATAAGACAAGAACACATGTAGATACACATTCAGGAGTGTCACAGGGTACACCACTCACTGCTGGACTGGCACCTCCCCCATTTGCACACCCATCACTCTGTCCACCTGCAGCTCTTCTCACAGTGTCAGCGACCTCTTTGTGTTTCTTTGGCTCTTTTACTGTCTGTGTTCTCCTTCCCGGGGGAGTCTAACTCCTCAGTAGTTCTAGGCAGTCTTCTTACTCAGGTCCTCTGTGCTACTCACTCCCCTGTACTAGGGGAACCCAGGTCCACCCTTTTCTCCAGGTCCTAGTCAAGGGACTCTCAGCTCAGCAATCTCTACCATCACTGCTCTATTCCTGGGCTTCTTCCTACCACTAGTTCCCTTTTTCTTCCTGGGCCTACCAGATCCCAAAGTTTATTTCCTCTTTCCAGGAGTGACAGTAGTCTCCACTCTCACTTCTCCCTTTCTCCTAGGAGTAGCTGCCTTTTCTGTCACTTTTTCTCCTTTCAGCTCCTAGGCTTTATATATCCTGTCTATTCCTGGCTATATAAGCCTCCTTAATCAGCCACCTAGTGGGTTAATTGGCCTATCTGTCCTGCATTAATCCCTTCAGGATGAGTGTGGGGAAGTCATCTCATCACAAGGAGCTTGAACAACTCTTGCCAGAAATATTAAATGAAATGTGATCCTCAGTCACATGTGATATTAGATGGTAGACCATGGAGTTTGAAAATATGATTAAAAAACAGGCTATATGACAATATGCACCCTCATTTATCCTCTACACACTATTGTAATAATCTTTGTACAAAATATGCCTTGTGAGGTATCATTTGAAAAATAATTCACCGGTTGATAATTTCATGATGAAATATATGTAGTAACATTATATATAAAGTTATATACCTCAGCTGAAATTAGGTCTGAAATGTGTTCACCAGAAAAGTTTGGGTAAACCAGTTTCTTAAAGACACCTGGCCTCTAGCCAATGTCTGTTGGAGGACAATCACCTAAGTGGCCATTCTTTGGCAAGGAAAGGGGTTAGAAACAAACAGAATTGCATCTTAGCAAAGAAGAGCATGAAACCTCTTCTACAAGACTTC